AGAGAGAGAGAGAGAGAGATTATAAAATACCAAACAAAAGGAGAATTATCTATCGCTAGAAGATACAATAAAGCCCAAGCCAAAAAAAAGATAAGAAAGCATCAGAACTCTAACTATATGGTTGTAACATAAACACTTCCAAGATTTTAACATACCTGTTTTCCGACATGTCTCTTCCGTTGCTTGAACCTGGGAGCTTACAAAGCAAAAGACAGTCATAAAATTCTAATAAGCTCTAGTTTCAATAGTGGTTTAACCAAATTCTGCAACTTGTTCTGTGTAATCCAAAACCAATCAGCATAACATGGATAGAATAAAATCACGGTAAAATCACATCAAAGATGAATTAAAAAAAACAAAGTCCAGTCTCCTTGAAGGAATCTGCGTTGGAGATTACAAATATGAAAATTAAAGGGGAATATTACTTGAATAGCTGAGAGATCAAACGGAATCGCAACTCAGCTTCGTTGGGGTCCCAGCGAGAAATCTTTAGAGACAGGTGATTTGCCGTGCTTAATCAGAGAAAGTTCAGTTGACGGTTTTGATGTGGAGCAAGAAAAGAAGTAGTAGAATATATAGGATAGGAAACAGAGTCTCGAGGAAGACGAAGGATTGATTTGTTTTTGAACCATAATCAGATGCCAAACCGAATCTGATGTGGAGTTTTGGAAGAATATTATTAGTTGATTAAAAGTGCCTATGTGGACATCCCATATGCTTTGTTTTGCCCCTTTTAATAGTAATAGATAATAATAAAATAGAGTTATTTCTCTTTTTTTGTGCCACCTCAGCCAAGGGTATTCATTTTCTTGACACATGGTGGAATTAGAGATTTTAGGTGTTTTAACTTTAATTATTTGTTTCTTTGGTGTTTCTGAGTTTTGGATTTGAACAATTGGCTTAAGTGTTTTTTGGTGTTCATGTTCTATTACAGTTTCTTCAAACTCAAATTGCATTGCATTGCATTTAAGTCTATGTACTACTACTAACCTATTGGCGTTTGATCTTCAAGGCAGGCATATTAGGGTACAAGGCTCCAGCTTGCTTGCCTTGCAAGATTCTTGTTGGTTGGCTTTCTAAAATTGTTTTAATTGTGATGAGTAGAAAGGTACAAGATGCCATATATAAAGCATAGACTTCACTACTCAAACTGATAAAAACAGAAAACTCCAAATGTTTCTCCTTTCTTAATGTCACATCAATTACTAACCAATATTTAAAGAACTAAGACCAAACATCAAGACTCTCTACATTCACAGTTTGTCTTCCATTGTTAAACACATACAAATGCGCCTTCTCTTTCATTGCTTCCCCAAAGCTCCAAAGCTCTCTACTATTGAGTGGTCAATCTGTAAATTTAAAATCAAATTCAGTTTTTATGTCACACTACATTTACAAAACAAGCCAAAAATGGTAAATATGTACCAACTCCTAAGTGAGATTCTTTCATCAGCTAGATCAGCATCTATAAAACCAGCAAATGGTCGTTACACATCCTATCTTTTGCCAGCAGACCCCTGTCTTGCTTCAACGACGAACAATAGCAAATATGTTAAATTGATGTTAGAATCTTTAAATGAAAAGCATATTACATATATTATGAGGTTAAGGATATTGGGCGTTATGGAAACGTACGGTCTAGCATCGTAGGCTCGTAGCACAGGAGAACCTCAGGCTTATTTGTGGAAGCTTCTTTGAAGACTCTAAAAAAGACATGAGTGTAATCTTCCAAATCACGAGTCGCTAATGTGATCAGACCAAAAGGTCCAACACGACCAGTCATATTCGAGCCTTTCACTCTACACAAACCTAGCGGGTTGTAAGTGTAGTTCGGGTCAAATGTCACTTCCACATCAGCCTGAGCAGGAGTGGTTCCTTTGACTTTTAACCGTTGACCCATCTTGATGTCTCTATTGTTCATTCGGATGTAATTAGTGGCGTCTTTCACTAGGGTCAATTTCATAATAAACATTATTACATGGGTTAAGTTACTTCCATAGTATTTTCGCAGTATTTCCCCTCAGTACACAAGTAAAAAAATTATTTTTACAAAAACCATGTGGATCATTTGACCATCTTCACCAAGAGCCACTAGACGTAATTACTTCTAATGACTCATTGATTCAATGAATCCTTTTTTGATTTATATTTAGATTCTTTAGTGAATTCAAAAATACGACAGAGATAAGTATCAAATTCTTGAGTCTGCTTCCCTTTGAATGCTGGAATACTTTTTACCTTAAGTGAAAGAAATGCTTTAGGATTCATACGAGATTATTTGTCTATGTATTGTTCCATTCGATCTTTTAGGTCATGTGTTACCTCGATGGTTATGCCACAATATTCTTTAAGTTTATATGCGATGTATAGACTTCTCTAACCATGGCATATTTGTTTACTTCAATATAAAAAAAATTTTTTCATTTAGAAAGATAAGGAAATGCTTAATTCGATAAAAAGGTCTTCTTTTCACGAGGTACGACTAATCGCTAGACCATGTGTATATAAGTTTCTAGAGAATTTTTATTATAACTGTCATATATGGATAGAGCCAGAAATAATCCCATCATTTATGTTTTACGATAATTTTCTCAGACACTTATTTTATTTTAGTTATTGTTATATTTAGAGTAGGATAAAATTTAAAATTTTGAAAATTAAAAATATATATATGAACTAAAGTAATCATATATTATATTAAAAGAATAAAATGAAAATAGTGGAAACTAGTGTTGTTTTCAATTCAGAGTAAAATATACATTTCTAAATGTTAACTAAAATTTAAGTAGTTTCTCCTTAGCAATAATATAAACTGTTAATTTTCTTCTTTTTTTTTTGTCATCAAGATATAGACTCTGTTAAGACTTTGCAAACCATTATGGTAACTCTGCGTCCATGTGAACCACAAAGGTCGTCTGTTGCCTAGCCTTGCATGTTAGACTATCCGCACTTAAGTTCTGTGTTCTGGGTACATTCTCCGAGTGATTGAAGCTCCTCTTCAAAATCTGGATGTCTTCTAGATAGGTTGCAAAAGCCGGCCACTCTTCTGGTTCTGAAACCATCTTCACCAATTGAGAGCAATATGTTGCAAATGTGACGTGAAATTGTCTTAAATTCCTCATACTCTCCATCGCCTGGATAAGAGCCTCTAGCGCAGAATGTACAGGTGACAAGCTGGCTCTCGTATTTCTGACTCCCATCAGAGCTTCAAAACCTTCCAAGGTGCTGTACCAGCCTTGTCCCGAGAAAATTCATTATCTTTCCATGATCCATCTGTAAAACACCATCTCCCCGTAACTTGAGGTAAATCTGATGGCGATGGTTCCCCTAAGTTGGATATCCGGTTTGAGAGAGTCAATTGTGCCTCATTCCAAGTTGCTGCCTCTATTTCTGCCCTCTGAAGAGTATCTCTAGGGTCAATATCGATATTTCTGAATACCATGTTATTCCTACCCTTCCAAATTTACCATAATATCCAAGCAAATTGATGATCTTCTATGGGTGGATCGATCCTCCAAAATAAGTAATCCATATTTTTGAAGATTGACTGGGTAGGGAAAATAAGAGGATTTGACAGAATCTTTGAAAGGGCCCAAACTTGGAAAGCCGGTGGACATTCGAAAAACACATGATTGATTGATTCCTCACATGCTCCACATCTTGTACATTGAATATCTCCTTTCAAACCTCTCGCTCTTAAACTTTTCTTAACCGAAATACAACAAGTGATAATTTTCCAAAGAAAATGCATGAGTTTAAGTGGACATCATATCTTCCATGAATGTGCGTTTAGAGGGTTAATATTGGGACTTAATATTGTGGCTAGCTGCTGAATGTCGAGGTACACCCTTTCCACCTGGTAACCAGATTTCACCGTATATTTTCCATTCTTAGTAAAATGTCATCCATCCTTGTCTTGTCTCTGGAAACGACTTAAAAGAATGCTCTCTATAACTTTTGCATCATCCGGAGTCACCAGATCTCGAATCATCTGAGATTTCCACGTTCGTGTTGTTGAGTTGATGAGTGAGTCCACTATGAGATCGGGGTGAAGAATTTGTTTATTACTGTTTGCTGGTCTCGGGCGAGTTGTTGGGAGTCAGGGATCCTTCCATACAGATAGAAGAGCGTGATCCCACCCTTTTGACTAGTCCTTTGCGAACCAGAGATCTAGCAGAGACCATATGATGGTGAATATGATCTTATCGGTTCCAGGGGTAATGTGTTCCTCAAATACCGTCCTTTAAACACCCGACAGAACAAAGTCCCTGGTTTCTCAATCAGTCTCCAAAACTGCTTTCCCAACATAGCTGTATTAAAATCTACTAAATCTTTAAAACCCAAGCCACCGTCGTCCTTAGGTGTACATAATTTGTCCCATGACTGCCAATGCATGCCTCGAGTAGTTCCTCCAGGACTCCACCAGAATTGTGCAGTAACACTCCTCAACTTCTTCGTCACTGTCTTCGGTATACGATAACATGACATTACGTGGTTTGGTAATGCTGTAATTACAGACTTAATTGTTTTTCAAGAATTTTTTTTTATCTTTCCAATCAAAAAATGACAAAGCTCTCATTTTCTCTATATATATATTTGCATCTTCACTTTGTAAGTGACGACATAGCTCTCTTTGTGTTTTCTCAAATATTATTTACCATTTCCACTCTTTCTCAAAATCTGCGAGCATCATGTTCTGAGAATCACACAAAAATATCGTATCATATATGTTTACTTCTTTGGCTACTCTTGAAAATTCACAATGAAACCAGTTTGGTATATTATAATAGATAAATTATACCTGTTGACACATACTCAGGAGTCACATAGCCAAATGTACCCATGAATCTTGTAATAACATATCTTTTTTCTCCCTTTGTACGGTCCCTCGCTAAACAAGTCTGAAAGTTTTCCATTGTAGTCATAGATTGTAATAAAAAAGAACCAAGCCAGCACCATCTGAAGTCCATTAAGACAGTACTGAGACTCGGAAAGAGGGTTTATACCGAGTCGAGCAAGATGTAAGGTGCCTTGATGCCTCGGCATATGACTTTAACAGGGCAGCTATGTAGAAATGCAAGCGCTTCAGCTGCATTAAGAGCAACCTTAACACGTAAGCTCCATGAGAGCGGCTTTAACTGCACATCATCTGCTTCAACACCAAAAAAACATAAGAATAAACAATTGCCTGAAATTTTCAGTAAGATCTTGATTTATGAACTCACTTGTGAACATATGATCCTCAAGACTACCATTATGCATAAACTCGTACAAACTAAGCCGTTGTTCATCTTCCAAGCGATAACCAGTCAGCTTAACTAAGCCGGGTGACTTGACTGCCCCCAAGTAATTGATCTCTGTCTGACTCACAAAAAATCACACAACACGTCAGAGAATCAAACAATGGAAATTTGAGATTGGAGTGACATATAATAAGAACAATGTTGTGTGTACCAGCCATTCTTGGTGACCTTGAAATCTATCATGGTTTAGACGCGTGACAGGAACTACAATATTAGTGATGGATTTTGTTGGAGTTAGAGTACTCTCATCGATCCAACCTCTATAGTCAGAAGCAAAATCGGTGTTTGATCTAAATTTTCTGGTTGCAAGTCTGAGTTCGTTGACGGTAAAGCTCTTAATGATCGCTCTGTTAAGTATCTAACCTTTCTCTTGTGAGCTGCCGATGATGATGATGATTAAACACTCGAAATATGAAGTTCGTAGATACCACTGCTCAGAAACATACTCAGAGGGTTGACTGAAGTCAAACTAAGGACAACTGAAAAAGGTGGGGACTTTTTTACTTAAATCACATGAATACTCTTACGGAGTTCATTGCTTTTCTCAGAAACTATCATTAATTTGCAGAAATACACTTGATCTCAATAATTTCCGAGAAATTCTACAACGGGATTTAAAAATAAGTCTGGAGAGAACGAACACTCAACACGAAATCTAAGGCAAGAACCCATTAAAAGAGAATGGAATTAAACGAAGAATAAAAACTGCCGCATCTGATGAACTATCCAGCTACAATGTCCGACGTTCAAGTCAGCGAGGAGGAGAACGGAGTTTGCTATTCTAATCTGCAGAATTTTTTGGATTAATATGAATGTGAGGTAAGAGAATGATGAATTTTACAGATATAAACTCACTTATTTATAGCTATAGAATTACAAAATCGAAGATAGTAAATGCTGCATAGAATGAGGAATCGTGGAACGATTGAGGAGAAATAATGAAGAAATTCGTTAATGACAATGATTGAATGCCACATGTTACAGTTCTGGTTTCTCTTTATCGGCGAGAAGAAAGCAAGATGAATCGGCACGAACAATAGCTCGCACCAGAGATTGTCCGTGAATATTCATCTCACATAACACTCTCAAAATTTCATGGACGGTTTAAGAAATCAGATGTTAAGGAACACTATGAACCCTATATTCATCTCACATAACACTCTCAAAATTTCATGGACGGTTTAAGAAATCAGATGTTAAGGAACACTATGAACCCTAGATATAGATGCTCACTGACTCTAGGAGACGAAGACTGTGTATAGTGGGCAATCCCAATTAATGTCAAAGTTGTGTTTTTCCATTAAAAAATTGATATTAGTTTTGTTTTGTCACTTTACATAATTTTAAAATAGTTAAATGTTTTGTCTTTTCCCAATCTCTATCATCGATTTTCTTCAATAGATCTCAATTTATCAACGCTTAATTCATTAGACAATGGGGAAGAAGACAAAAACTGAGAGTATCATGAGAGAGGCTAACACAAATTAGTATCATCATCAACCTTTTCTTTTCACCAGTTCTTTGTTTTTTCCTGGAACCACTCTTTGGAAATCACATCAATATTCATTTTCTGATTCTCATTACGGCGATGATTCCGAAAATGATTTACGATCCAGTTTATCAATGGATTTTTCAAATCAGAGTTTCTACAAGAGCTATAAGAGTGAGATGTTACACATACTGCATCCACTACGCATCTGTTATCTCTGGCGTGGCCAGTATGTCCATGATAGAGGACCAGTTTTTTAGGGCTTAGAAAACATGTTTTGGTTTTCATATCCCAAATTTAACGAAACATTATGGTAGTCGTTTGTTTCTCTTCCTTTTATTAATGGAAGATAATACGGAAAATAGACTAGTGGATAAGGTGGTGGTGTTTACCCTTTTCCGGCCATTGAAATGTGATGGGAATTGTTTAAAGTTCAACCGTAGAAGACCATTAACAATGGTGAATAAAGAATTCATAAACCATATTGTGATACAATATATTTGGTATCGAATAATGGAGTATTCTATGTTTTTATTTAATTCATAAAAACCACCATGGAATAACCAATGGTTCATGTTGGGGTCAAAATCGGTACGACGGAATCAATAGCCAAAATTCCACGCAAAAAAACATAAAAGGAATAGTTTTATAAAACCCAAGAAGTCGTTTTATAAAACAAGAAGACGTTTTATGAAACTCGCAGATCATTTTATAAAACTCGAAGATCGTTTTATAAAACTCAAGAAGCCGTTTTATAAAACTCGAAGATCGTTTTATAAAACTCGAGAAGCCGTTTTATAAAACTCGAAGATCATTTTATAAAATTCGAGAAGCCGTTTTATGAAACTCGAAGATCGTTTTATAAAACTCAAGAAGCCGTTTAATAAAACTCGAAGACCATTTTATAAAACTCGAGAAGCCGTTTTATAAAACTCAAGGATCGTTTCATAAAACTCGGGAAGCCGTTTTATAAAACTCGAAGATCGTTTTATAAAACTCGAGAAGCCGTTTTATAAAACTCGAAGATCGTTTTATAAAACTCGAAGATCGTTTTATAAAACTCGAGAAGTCGTTTTATAAAACTCAAAGATCATTTTATAAAACTCGAGAAGCCGTTTTATAAAACGTGAAGATCGTTTTATAAAACTCGAGAAGCCGTTTTATAAAACTCAAAGATCATATTATAAAACTCGAGAAGCCGTTTTATAAAACTCGAAGATCGCTTTATAAAACTCGAGAAGCCGTTTATAAAACTCGAAGATCGTTTTATAAAACTCGAAGATCGTTTTATAAAACTCGAAGATCGTTTTATAAAACTCGAAGATCGTTTTATAAAACTCGAAGATCGTTTTATAAAACTCGAGAAGCCGTTTTATAAAACTCAAAGATCATTTTATAAAACTCGAGAAGCCGTTTTATAAAACTCAAAGATCGTTTTATAAAACTCGAAAAGCCGTTTTATAAAACTCGAGAAATCGTTTTACAAAACCGCGAAAAACCGAAACAGCCACGAAGCGCGAACTAGTCGCAACTAGTTCGCCTTCTGGCGAACTAGAGGCTCACCAACTAGTTCACCTACTGGCGAACTAAGCCAAGCCGGCTTAGTTCGCCAGCAGGCGAACTAGACAGTCCCGGACTAGTTCGCCTGCTGGCGAACAAAGCCAGCCCGGCTTAGTTCACCAGCAGGCGAACTAGGACCTCCTCGGCTAGTTCGCCTGCTGGCGAACTAGAGATCTCCCGGATCTTCCGTGGCCCCGATTCGAACCTTACGTCCTTCGACACGGTCACATTCTGAAATACGGCCAAAATGACTCTCGTTTCGTCTCGATCCAACTTATCGTTTGAATTCTACGATAAAAACCGTAAAACTCCGTTTTCCCGAAAAGAACTCGAAGAAATCGTATAAACGGTAACGGTTAAGCAAAACACCGAACATCGCCTAAACTATACGAGTTATCCGAGATTCTTCGTTAATATTATAAAAAACGCGTTTTTAATAAAAACGTCGAGAGAATCGTAAAAAAATGGCATCGGATCAGGACACGGTCTCGTTAAAATCGTAAAACGATTTTTTATCGTAAAACGGCCCGAAAGGTCCTAAAACACGATAAAAACCAATCTTGCGACGTTAACGAAATCAAACCCAAAGATACGATAACGTTATGATGGTTTACTCGCAGGCGGAAGATAAAAGGCAAGTTTGAAGATAAATAGAAGATTTCCGCGGAAGAAAAGGAAGGATTGACAGATATGGAAAGTTTCCGATATATTCGGTTTCGAGCGAAATGGAAAGGTCAAAACCGCCTAAGGAGCAGTATATAAGGAGGAGGCATAGGGCCGAAGCTGATACACGATTTTCAGAGCTCTCACCACCAAAAATTAGCATTTAGGAATATTTCCGTTTTATGTTAGCGAGCTGCGTCTCAATTAGGGTTTTTCGTTCTTAAGTTTTCGGCTACTCTTTTGTACCAGTTCTTACGCAGATTCGGAATAAGAACCTCTTTGCTCTTAATTTCGTTTATTCACTTTTGAATTCTAAGTTTATCGTTTTCTTAATCTTCGTTGTGCGGTTCTGCAGATAGCCGGTTCCTCTGGAAACTTAGGGTTTTCCCGAAGTTTCATTTTTTACGATTTCTTGACAGTAGGTGGATTTCGGTTCCCACAGTTCAGGACTAAAGGTGTATTCTTTTTGTTGTATGGTGATATTCGTACAATTGCTGAAAATTGACAATCTCAATTTCTATTTATATTGGATGAATCAGTATATTGGATTCTAATCCAAAAGAAAATATATATAGCTCAAATCTGAGATGTAGTCAATGTTATACAACAAAAGAAGAAGTTGATCTCTATAATGCGATATACACTTGAAGATCGCAAGAAGATTATGAAGACCTTCCAAGAAAAATCAGTGTTTATGCTTTCTTTATTTTCTCTATTGTCTTTGTATTCTTCTAGTTATGTTTGTTATTGTCTTATTATATGTATTGTGTATGCATTGTTACATTATATCTAAATAAAATAGTCGTTAAAAAAATAAAATAGTTAAATATCTTAATAAGTAAATCTCCTTTAGTGTTAAGAGTCATGTCTTTTCATAAATATAATTGAGATTAGTTATTTCAATAAGCAACCCTTTGGAAAAAATATCTTAATATTTTTATAATTATTAGGTTAAAGAGTTGCGTTTTCTCAATATAAAAATATTGATGCAAAGACTGTTTAAATTTAGCTTGGAAAATATATAATATTTATCTACAAATGATTAAAAGATTTTGCTCAGATAACACATACCTTAAAGATTATGTGTTATCTAAAAGCTGCTACAAAGCCAACGTTCCAAATGTCACGAACAATTGCATCCATTTCACAAACACTTACAATCTTTCAGCAATTATATAAGTGATTAACTTTTCCCTTTTCCATAATACTCATAATTTGGAATTGCTGTAAACTTAATTTACAGTCACCCCTCATTTTGTTAAATTTAGAATTGGTAGAAAAGAATTCATCGACGTACAACATTAACAACATTATTATTTTGGAATCAATTTTGTTTTCTCCAGTGCTCATACATGGCTAGCTTTAGCCATTCATACACAAAACCAAAGGATTTCAAGAAAGAACATGTAATGCAAGAAATGATTGCTCGCTTGATTCATAAATGGGAGTCACAAAGTCCAAGACTCTAAGGAAATGAAGTGTTTCACTGAGCCAAGAACTTTTGTTTTTGGATGAAAATGAAAATGTAGGCTTTGTAATAATTATTTTAAAATTTGATTATGTTTAGTAATCTATTTAAATTTTTATTTTTATTAATGTGAAGGGGGGGGGGTTGATAAAAGCTATATTGATCATCGGCTAATGCAATAACACTTTTTCAAAGATCTATTTATTGATTAAATTTTAAAATTTGCATTTGTTAAATAAATTGTCAAAATGTCTAAAATATATATATATATTCTCTGAATAAGTCAAAAGTTGTAACTTTTCATCGCAACAAAGTGTTTTTTCATCTTAAAAATGATAATGTTTTAAAAAATGTTGTCAAATATATAAATATAAGTTTCATCTTAACAGTGTGTCTTTTCCATTTAAAATTTACATAAAGAAATTGTTAAAATACATAAAGATGTGTTTTTCGTCTTAAAATTTGCATTTTGATAAAAAAAAATTGTCAAAATAAGATGTATATTTTCTCCAAACAACTGTCAAAGGTTGTAACTTTTCATCTTTCAAATTGCATTCTTTAAAAACATTTTCAAAATATATAAGTATGTATCTTTTCAAATGTACTAATAAATAGATGAAGATTTCAAAATTTCAACCTAAATGAAGATCACAGTAGTTGATTAAACAAACAAAGAGACACAAGGTGTTAAATATATATCTTTTAAAGTCACTTGCATGTATCCAACAGATCGATCTAAATCAAGAACCAGTTTAAACCAGACCCACTCACAGACAACACTCGAGACACAAAAAACCTAATGTCCAGTTTCATTTAAGCAATTTGCCTTCAGTAGAAAAGGCCATCACATCTTAATGCCAAAGAGTGAAGCAAAGATTCTTCACACAGTTTTATGTTAACATCTTTAGCACTGAACTTTCTTTCACAACTTTTTTTTTGCTAATTGTGATGATTCATTGCTATAGTTGTGAAACATCGCCAACATGACTTTGCTTGCATCTTCTGTGTATATAAACCTGCAGGAGTATAACCAAACCTCTTGTTGAGTCTATATGAAACTAATTGCTAACATAATATCTTTAACCAATTGTTACCATATATTTGATTGAAGACGCAAAAGAATGAAATGTATGTATAACTCCACTTTATTGATGGCTCCACTTTCCAAAATGAATGACCAAATACCAAAAGCTTGATATAGAAATTAGATTTGTCATTACTGGTATCATAACATGTCAGTCTTTAGCTTTATACATACATAGGTGCTGGGTGTAAAGTTTTGGAGAACTTGCACGAACGAAAAGGTGTTCATTCATAATTACACTCTGAAATGGTAAAAATAGGACTCTGTGGAATCTTTCATGCTCATAATTTCTACAAATTCTCATGGTATTGTGAAAGATGAATCTTTTGAGTGGCACAGTGACATTGATTTCACAAAAAGCTACTTGATTTTCCACTTAAAATGTTCATCGTTGGAACTTGAAAGCATCTTCTTGGTTGAGTCAATTATATATGAGCAAGTGGTATATGGACAACATAAAACAACACGACCAAAAAGGGTCCAAGATTCACATTTTGTTGAACAAACCCACTCTGAGATCTTAAATTACTGTCAGAAACTCCACTAATGATAAAAAAAAGCATACATTACACAACGTTGAATATTTTATTTTTTTTTGGAAACATCATCCGATAATAGTTATACAGACACAAACACTGATTTTGAAACCCAGAAGAGCATACTGGAACAGAGGTGGTTCTCTAGTTTACTTGTGAGAGAGGCGACCGTGTCTCCAATGGCATTGCTCGTAGTGATTCAATGGTGGCTTTGGTTGGGACATCTGGTTCCCTCCTAGATGAAGTTGTCCCCGTGGTGGGCTCATACTCCTGCGGTACTTGGTTACATCTTTCTCAGCCACCGTCCTTGCAGAATTTACTTCGGCATCGTTATTATCACAAGCAGACCTAAGAAGTGAAGAGACATCTGCGACTTGCTTAGTGGTCATCTCCTTTTGAGATTCATGAGTTAGGTTGCAGTTTTTGAAAGCTGATTCTGCATGACCCATGGATCTGCAGACACTATAGAGATGATCTTACCATTGCTGAAGCAGTAGTTCCATTCGACAATGTTTTGCAGCTGAAAATCAGCACCATCTCTTGCATGTCTCCCATTTTCTTTAATTTTGCGTATTTAGCCAGATTATTTACGTCAGAGACGTGTTCATCCAAGAAAATATTGTTGGAAGAGACAGCTTTAAAGCTGTTGAGTCTTTTTTTGGTCGAATTAAAGCTGTTGAGTCTTTTTTTGGTCGGATTAAAGCTGTGGAGTCTTGAATCCATTTTAATTTTTTTTACTTTTCAATACAACGGTTGTATTTATTGGATTTTGTATGACCAATGAAATAACACAAAACTTTTTATGATTGGTTAAAGTTATATCTCAAATTTCTTAATAGTAGTGTTTTTAACTAAAACTACTTTCATTTTGAAATAGAAGTATTAATTTTTTTTATAAATTAGAGTTCTGCCTAAGACAGAAACAAGTCAAAGAAACTCCTCCACAAAATCGCCGAAATCGAAGTTGACATTACAAGACTCGATGGCGTTTAAAACGTCTTGGAACAAGGAGTGGCTACAAGGGACGACCAACATAACCTTCTCCTCGAAACAATGGAACTCGTCGTGTGACTTCTCTAGTAGCATCCTGAACAAAGGGTGACTCAAATAGCTCGTCGGCACCATGCATTTCACGCGCTCTTGCCCCACATACACCGCAAACGTTCCCGTAGGACCTTTCGTTGCCACTGCCTGAGACGTGTCGTCCGCCTCACTGACCAGAAGAGAATCGGAGTCGTCTTCTCTCCTGTTGATGCTCTTCGCTTTCTTGGCTAAGTTCTTGATGAAAGCTATTCTTTTCCACATCATTTTTCTATTTACTTTTTATATACTTGTATTTGTTTTTGCCCACCCGGAAACTCTTTTAGATATATGTAGAAGAATTAAGATTTTGAAGATGAAGAAAATGGTTACTGGTTAGTGATTATATACCATGATTAGATGTATAATAGTATAATCAAATGAGAACTGGCGAGTTTTGACTTTATTTTATCTTTGTTTTCGGTTTTTGTTTGTCCGTGTTGACTTGTGGGGTGCATTTCTTGGCGGGGATAATTTGTATTTTTAAAAATATTTAGTAATTATTAAAATAAAATTACAGATATCTCGTCCCAAATCATGGATACATGATATATATGATTTGTCCTTGGTGTTTGGAGTATAAATGAATAAATATGACACTACTTATCGTTCTTGTATACCTTCTAGCATCACGCAAGCGATGGCGATAGGTTATCATGGAGGTTCGTATTCGTACATACTCATACAACGTCCTGCTCGATTCAGGAATCTATACGTATGCCTCTCATATTCAACCAGATGATTGACTGTATCACAAAAGCTAGTTATAATGTTCAAAAATTGTTAAGCCGTCGTTTAAACCAATTTTTACAATAGTGATAATTATTAATGATTGTCCGATCAGTGATCACTGATGCCCATAAATTCAAGTTCAAATAAGGAGTTTTTTTGAAAATTTTCAAATAAGGAGTTGGCCACCCAGTTAATGCCTTATCTGATATAAAAATATAAGACGAATGTTAATTAGATTAATGGATGGGAACAGAAAGTACGGAATCAATAAGCAATTGGTATGTTGACAAAAACTCTAGTATTTTGAAGTGATGTTATTATATATATCAAGTGTGCATTCTGTAGGATATCTTGTTAACTTTGGGTTTATTATGGGCTTCCAACTTAAAACCAATTGGTAATAAGTGGATTGGCTCCAACCCTTTATATAGTAGTAGATTAGTTCTTATATTTCCGATGTGGGATGTTTCTCATCAATACCCTCCCTCACGCTTAGACATCTAGGTCTGAAGTGTGGAGAATGTGGGAATAACATTCACAGAGGGCCCAACATCGGTATAGTAGTTGTAGTGAATTAGGTCAAAGGATCTTATCGCTCTGATACCATGTTAACTTTGGGTTTATTATGGGCTTCCAACTTAAAACCAATTGGTAATAAGTGGATTGGCTCCAACCCTTTATATAGTAGTAGATTAGTTCTTATATTTCCGATGTGGGATGTTTCTCATCAATATATCTTAAGCAATGCCGTACAGTATATTTAGTATCCTGTAGGATGACATGAGTAATGCCGTACAGTAGATTTAGTATTTATTCTGTATGATGACATGAGTTATGCCGCATTGTAGTGTATTAGTATATTTTAATGATGTTTAGTAATACGCTAGTCGGATTCATCTATAGCATGTTGACATATATGCATGAATTTATATAATCATACAAATTCTAGTGGATAGTTTGACTGGTTGTATAGAACGAACTTTATTTCGTAATAATCAAATCTCTATTTAAGATAGTTTTATAGCTGTGTTAAAGAATAAGAAATTGATATATGGTTTGTTGAATTTGTATTATGTTGTAGAAAAGAATGATTATCAAGACGGCTCTTTAATAAGCTAACTCATATACAACGAGAGCCTATAACGACATCTAGTTGTTACCATGATCTGTTTATAACTTACTAAACACTAGTTGTTAAATATTTCTGTTATTATTCGTAATTTGATTTAGCTTTAAGAAAATTTCTCATTTAAACTCGCAGTAATTGTGTTCAAAAAAAAAACTTGCAGTAAATATCATTAAATCTAGGCCTTTTTCAAAAGAAAAATATATAGGATTTAACTATTTCTGTTCAAAAACTTCAGAAATCCAAAATGTGTTGAACTCTTATTCGCCTAATCAAATCTAGAATTTTTATATGGTCAAATTCGTAATGTGTTTTCGTTTTAAACTCTTCAGCAGTTTATCCATTTTCACGGCTCATAATTGATTCAGTGTGGTGGCTTTTGTTGGGCCTCTTGTGCACTATTCATTGGAGTTGTCCATGTGGGCTCATAATTACGCTAGCATTTGCCAGTCACACCCAAGATGTAGCATACTATGTCAACAGCTAACTTGCTATCCTTAGAAAAATAACAAAGAAAAAAACTGCTAAATTAACTGATTTGTTAGTGACTATCACTTCTTAGGCCTGGGCATTTTACCCGGACCCGAAGACCCGAACCGGAACCGACCCGAAAATACAGGTTCGGGTCCGGGTCCGAGTCCATGCTGAAGTACCTATTGGGTCCTTTTTCTTTGGACCCGCGGGTCTCGGGTCGGGTCCGGGTCCTACCCGAGACCCGTTCAGGTACCCGTAGTACCCGCAAATTATTGCATATATAAGGTATATTTAGGTGTTTGGGTATATTTTTGGTATTTCGGGTATTTTTAAAATTTTCGGATTCGGGTTTTCGGGTATAAGTTTAGGTTTCGGTGAAATTTTAGATTTTCAGAAAATATAATTCGGGTATTTGGGTAAAATTTCGGGTATTTTTTGGGTTTTCGGGTCTGATTTTTTATAATTTTTGGATATTTTCGGGTAATTTTCGGGTTTTCGGGTCTACTTTGGTTATTCAGGTCCTTTTCGGGTCCTAAATACCCGAACCGACCCGGATCCGAAGTATACCCGGAAATTATGGGTATTTTACAGGTATTGAAATTATAGACCCGAACCGACCCGGACCCGACAAGACCCGACCCGGAACCGACCCGAAAAGTTATAGGTACCTATATGGGTCCAAATTTTCAGGACCCGAAAGACCCGGACCCAACAAGACCCGACCCGAACCCGACCCGAGGACCCGGATGCCCAGGCCTATCACTTCTGGTAAACGTTCTCAACATACCAAGTTGACGTAAACGTTAAATGTTAAAATTAATAATTGATCGGGCTCATTAATATATACTAAAAAAAAAAATTACACCTAATAACTAATAAAAAAAAAAAATTAATATTCTCTTTCCCATATTTTCTTCATATATCTCTCTACTCTCTCTTTAAATTCTTTTTTTTTTTGATTATTTCACAAGATAACTCCATGTAAGAAAAAAAATTGTTTTATATAACAAAAACAAAAACTTAATTCTTTTGTAACTGGTCTTTAACTTCATCTATCTATACTCTTATTTGCGAAGTGATTTTTCGCATTTGTACTCTCACGTTAAGAGTTATAACGGTTAATATCGTTTATACTCTTAATAAATAAAATCTATAAATTAGCCAAAAAAGTAAAAACAAATTTAAAATTTATTAGATTAGAAAAATTATTATAAATAATAACAAGAAGAATTATCCAAAAACTAAAAATAATATATTTTATTTAAAAATAAAATGTATATATATATATATATATTCTGTTATTATCGAAAAATATATTTTATAAAAAAATAAAAATTCAAAACAGAAAATACATAAATAAATATTAATCAAGTAAATTTTTAATTTTATATAATTGAAAAGTGAATATTGAATGTTTTTATAGTTTTATTTATTAATAATGAATATATTGTACAAAGATATTTTTTAAATTATAATACATAAGAATCTTCAAAAGAAAACATAATTAATAATTTATCATTACAGTTTTTAATTAATAATGCATGTATTACTAAATAATATTAAAATGCTTAAGCATGTATGCGCGGACGAAACATCTAGTAATAAAGTTATTTTTAAAAAGCCAAAACACCAAATTTTGTGTAATACTCCAAGGAAACTCCAAAAAAGTTAAATATCATCTTACGATATTTGGTATTTTGTATATAATGTTAAAAATGATTTATTAAGTTTCAGTTAATAACATAGTTAAATAAGTTTTAATAGTTAGTTCAGAATTTTAGTTAGAAATAAACATATAATCTCATATTATTTTGTATTTGTTCTTTTATTTTCACAAAACAAAAAATAAAATACTATTTTATTTTTCAGTTAATAATATCATTAAATGAATATGACTAAATACTTTTATATTTTTAATTTTTAATAATATGAAGTTTAATTGTTTTTATTAAAACATAAAATTACAAAACTATAACAAACAAATATAAAATAATTTCCGTTAACTATGTATAAATTTTTAATAGTTATAGTTTAAATTAAATTTGATTATAAAATAACATATGATATTATTTTTGATGTGAAATTTAATGTTATAATTGAAGATAGAAATAAAATATAACACTAAAACACTAAATTTTATGTCAGAGCTTACAATACGTAGAGCAACTCTAACATGAAGTTTTTAATTCAGAATTCTCAACAAAAAGAAAAAATATATATAATATAATAAAGTATTATTATTTAATTATATATGAATAACTAAAAACTACCGGAAACTCAACCAAAAATATCTGAAGAGAAATATTTTTGATTGAGTTTACCGTAGTTTTAAAATATTCACAATTAACTGCTAATATTTATATACATAAATATGTAGTTTGAGAGATTTATGTCGAGAACTCCCCATTAATGTTGTTTTTGGTATGTCCATGTTTTGATTTTGAGACAAAGCTCTGAATCAACTCACCAACATGTCTTCACAAGACATCCAAACATGTTTGAAGCATAAAGGCTAAAGCGACCAAACATTCTAAAAGGAAAAAAAGATAGGAAACTTAAAAAAACTGATTAAACAATAGATAATTATGTAACTAATATTTAACTAGCTACAAGCGTTTAAGAAATTAATAGACGGTAATTACACAAATATTTTGAAATATCATTTCAATTACGACCTATTTACCATCTAACGAATGTTTACGCACAGGCTATACTGATAAGCAAATTTTTAGAACTTTCTTTTTTTGATAAGAGATTTTTAGAACATTGCTAATACAAATTCTACGAGGAACAAAAAGAAAAAGATCTACACCACGCAACAAAGGGGTGTTAATCACTACAAGTACAACACTTAGTTTTCTTTATCAAACAGACAAGAAAAAAAAAATCAAGTCAAAGAAACTCCTCGACAAAATCGCCGAACTTGAAGTTACCATTACAAGACTCGATGGCGTTAACGACGTCTTGAAAAACGGAGAGGCTACAAGGGACGACCAACATAACCTTTTGATCCAAATAGTGGAATTCGTCGTGTGACTTGTCTAGGAGCATCCTGAACAAAGGGTGGTTCAAATAGCTCGTCGGTACCACGCGCCTCACGCGCTCTTCCCCTACATACACCGCAAATGTTCCCGTAGGCGTCTTGGTTGCCGCAACGTCCACCTCAGTGATCAGAAGAGACTCGTTATGAGTTGATTCGGAGCCGCCGCCTCTAGTGTTGATGCTCTTCACTTTCTTGGCTAAGTTCTTGAATGAAGCTATTCTTTTCCCCAGCATTTTCTATTTTTTTTTGTACATATGTATGTAGAAGGATTAAGATTGTGACGATGAAGAAAATAGAAGAAGAAGATGGATGGTGATTATATACCAAGGTTAGATGTATAAAAAATAAAAACTGAGAACCGGAGAGCTTTTGACTTTATTTTATTTTTGTTTTCGATACTTTTTGTCTTTGTTGACTTGGAATAGTGGGGAGCATTTCTTGGCGGAGAGGATAGTTACAAAAATTGCATATATCTCGTCGCAAATCATGGTTACGTGATACATGCAATACGTCTTTGGAGTTTGTAAATAAATAAATATGGCACAACTTTTACTTTTTACGCACTTACTATTACTTTTATACCTTTTAGTACATTACGCAAGCGATAGGTTATCACGGAGGTTCGTATTAGTACGTATGGATATGGTCCGTGACATTTAATTTAATGTATAAAACGTCATGCTCTATTCAGGATAGGCCCCCTATATTCAACGAGATGATTGCTTCTATCACAACAAAAAGCAACTCAAGAATTATTAGTTAACTAGGTGTTTTGCCCGCACTTGCGGGCTTAATAATTTTACTAATATCTATAAATAAATATATAATCAATTTAAGTAAATTATAATAAATTATTGCGTTTAATGGGATTGTATATTTATATTTATCTTAATATTTAATTTTAAATTATTTTATAACTAAATTTTTATTTTTCATGATAAAAAATATTATTTCCAGATAACTGTATAATATTCTCTAAGATATCTTATATTTTAAATATGCATGAATGTGGATAATTATCTTATTAATTTATAATAAATTAACTAATATAATAACATATAAATTTCTATCACTATAATAAAATTCGCTTTTAACTAATTTATATATAAATATATAAATTTCATTAAAGGTATCATTAACTTGAACCGTTCCAATTTTTAATATCTAATAGTTAATTATATAATTAAAAGTATCTTTATACAAATGTTTTTGTTTGATTAATATTTAATTAAAATTGACTTTTAAATGTTAATTTTTTAATTTTAATTTTTAAATTTTAATTTTTTAATTTTTTAATTTTTATTTTTAAATTTTTTATTTTTAAATTTTATAATAGAATGATATTATTTTCAAAAGCCAAAATCAATTATATATAAAATTAGGATATATAAGCATTATCATGTTGTTACAATATTATATTCAGATGATAATAACATATATAAGAATTATCTTATTTTTGTTTTTTATAAACTTTTATATTAATTATTCTAAGTTATCTAAGATAATAACATACTAATCTTATTTTATTTTTTAAATTGTATTTTTAATTATCAAAATTAGTTATATATAAAAGTTTCATTAAGGGTATAATCGATATTAACCACTCCAACTTTTAACGTGAGAGCTCCGTTGCGAAAAATCACTTCACAAATAATAGTATAGATTATGTTGTTTTATTTCATAAAATATAATATAATTAATAGAAATTTAGTTTTAAATATAATAAATTATATATATATATATATAAAATATGACAAATCAGTAAAAATTATCTAAAATCATGTAAAAGTAGATAAATGAGTAAATTATAATATTATTCATATAAATTCGTTTTTATATATAATAAATTATAGATGAAATTATTAAACATATGACACATAAGCAATATTAGCTAAAATTATGGAGTATGTGACAAATCAGCAAAATCACTTCATAAAATATATATGAAATTATTAAAAATATGACACATAAACAATATTAGCTAAAATCATGGAGCATGTGACAACTAAGCAAATTTACTTCTTAAATAATAGTATAGATGATTTTCTGATGACCATATATTCAAGTTTCAAATAAGGAGTTGGTGATATCTATCTAATACATTATCGGTTACAAACGTAACTATAAAATGAATTAGATTTTGATCCGCACTTGAAAGCGCGAAAATATTTTATAACTAAAATTTATATAATTGGGTTATGTGTTAATTTAAAGAATGTTATGGTATAAAATCAGTTTATCAAAATTTGTGGTGGCGATTTTTTTCATTAGTTTTTAGTTTCAGTTTTTATTTTAAAATTTTGGTTTTTAGTTTTTAAGTTTCTATTTTTGATTTTCAACTTTTGTTTGGGTTTTTAATTTTTAGATCCGCTGAGTTAGTTTGAACAGATATTACCAACAAACAAATTTCAAATAATCGAACATCTAATTTAAAACTGAAAATATGACAAAAAAATTTTAAAAAAAATTTGCAATAGTTTGTTTTGTAAATAAACAAAAGCAAAAACTATAACAATATGTTATCCAGAACAATGCGTTTTGAGCTTTTGGTTTTGGGTTTTAGTTTTTAGAATTGGTTTTTGGTTTTGCTTTACATTTATTTTTTTTAAATTAGTAAATTATTTAAGAAAAATAAAACAATAAATTATTTAAAAGTTACCATTGAAATTTATCAAAAAAGTGATTATTATTTAAAATAAAAAATACAATAACATGTTTTAAAGTACATGATTTAAATAAATGATTAATAATAGACAATTTTGTTTTGTTAAAAATATTAAATACATTTGGGCCTGAAAATAATAATTGATTTTTTGATCCATTAAGATAGAAATTTATTCAATTTTTTTTTGGAGTTTTTCCTTAATGGTAAGCCTAAAAATCAAACCATATAATTTGTCCTAAAAACAAAAGTAAGCCCAAGACTATATCCCATAATTAACCATCAGTTTAATTTAAGTAATACGGTTCAATTAACTATATGGCTTGTTGTAACACTCTAGAAAGAGTCAAAATTTAAATGACAATTTGTATTAGTAGATAAAAAGAAAGACTCTATTTTGATAGAGTAGATTTCCATTGGTTTCATATAATTATTAAATTTCCATATTTTTTAAAGGAATTTTTAAGATGCTAAATGGTATATTACGATTTCCACATTAATATAATTAGTAGATTTACATATTTCATATTTTGATAATATATATTCTTTTCGAACATTCCATATTTATAGGAGAAAATATGTGTTTTTGGTTGACACATAGATATCTACCGTATTTTGAAGATAATTTACATTAATGTCGCCATGTTACATTAATTGTGTTGGTTTAATTTAAGTAATGCGGTTCAATCAATTATAAGACTTATATTATTTGTAACACTCTAGAAAAGGTCCAAATTTAAATGACAACTTCTATCAGTAGATAAAAAGAATGTCTCTATTTTAATAGATTAGATATTAATTAGATTAGTATATGGAAATAAGAGTATGGTATCTAATAAAGCAATATATATGTACATTGACATAAACTAGTATTTTTAGGTGATGCCCCTGTTCTTTTAATAAACGCTGGCGTCAGCGATTAGAAAAAACAACTATGACCATGGCAAATGCATCACAGTCACAGTAAAACAGATTTTCTTTTTGAGTGGCTACAGTAATTAATAACCTCTAGAGGCGGCGCTGGAATTAACAAGGGCAGTGGAGTTGCCGTTTCTTGTCTCCGATCGTTCTTTGGGGACTGATGCCAATTTCGACATTTATAAAATTACTTCCGTTGTAGGTTTATTTCTTGCCAATGATGCTAGTCGCAGCGTTTATAAAACTAACTGGGGTGTTGTTAAATACTTCATGTGCATTTAACCAACCATGTACATTTTATATTCGGTGGAAGGTAAGATGTCATCAGTACTGCCGTACTGTAGTTTATAAGACGTTTATATTTTAATGATGTTAATAATATATGTGAGTCGGATTCATCTAATAGCATGTTGACATATATGCATGGGTTTATATAAATAGGAAATCATTTTCCGAACTAAGAGTGCTTGTATAGAACGCAAAATTATTTTGTACCCCTGTTTAAAATAGTTTATATCTGTCTTTAAGAATAAGAAATTATAAGATTTGTAGAATTAATTTGTATGTATAGAAAAGAATGATTATCAAGATGGCTCTTAAAGAGGGATCATATACAACGATAGCGCCTATAGCGACTTCTACTTAGTTGTTACCATGATCTGTTTATAACATTAGTTATTGTTATCCTAGTTTTTAATTCATATTTCTTGCTGACCGTTGTGGTCAGCATGAAGAAGAAAACAAAAGTGAGCAAACTTTATATCCATTTTAAAAATGGTCAATTCCATTTTTATTATGATAACCTCTAATTTTTTAGTTATTGGCCAGTTAATGATTGGACTGAAAATGCTCAGCACCAACCTCCTACCCTAGGTTGAGATTTGATAACATAAAGTGGGTACGTGAAAAAGGAATTTTAGAGAAACTATTTGGTACGTCTTACACATATCATTTGGATCACCTATTTTTTGCTTGTCCTTATATTTTTATGATCTGGCTGAAGTTAACAGGAAATCTTTTCGGAGTGGATCCTGATCCACATTGGAAGATAACTCTGTCTCGCTTGCTCACGGGATCTTTCGATCTTCTCACTTTCATACTACTGCAACTCGTCCTACAAATAACTGTTGGAGTTAGCTTGAATGAACTTGAGAAACAAGTTAACTAATTTCTAGTCGGTTTGGGATCTTGAAGGATAAAGATCATAACTAGGTGTTTTGCCAGCACATGCGGGCTTAATTATCTTTAAATCTATTTAAAAATCATCAAAATAAATGATATGTGCATCCAAAAAATTTAACCTAAAACATTAATTTTTTTTTACATGATAAATTTATTCACAAATTAAAAAAATATACTTCTTCCTTTTAAACTTTAAAAAATCTAAAGTCTATTTCCTTTCTTCTTAATTAATAAAAATATAGAAATCTATCTTTCAATTTAAAAAATTGAATCGATATATATACATTCAAAAATTGATCTTACAAAAAGTACTTTAGATAATAATACAATTAAAATTTATTTTTGCCAAACACGTTTTTTTTTGTTTTTGAATGATTTTGAATTTAATTATGATAAATTCATGTTTAAGGATTACTTATATATAAAAATATAAAAATAAATTTAATTTAACGTGTGAGCCCAGAGGCGAAAAACTTCACAAATATATATATATATATATCATTATATTATATTATTATATTCTTTTAATTTGAAAATAATTACGTATTATAAGTTTTTAAATTTTTTTATTTTCAATTATATACAATTAAAGTTTTTACTTAATTAATATTTATTTATGTGTTTTATGTTTTTGAAATTTTTTTATGAAATATATTTTCCGGATAACAACACAATATATATAGGAATTATCTTTTTATTTGTAAATATATATTTATATTATGTATAATTCTCATTATTATTATTAATTTAAATCATTTATCTAATCAAATAAATATTAAATTCGTTTTTATTATTGGCTGATTTATATATTTATTCATTAAGGATAATATCGATATTAACCGTTCTAACTTTTAACGTGAGAGCTCCATTGCGAAAAATCACTTCGCAAATAATAGTATAGATATTGTATTTATCAACTAGGATTAGGATTTATATTTATCTATATATATGCTATGTCATATGTAGACATAAATATCGATTTTGTGAGTTGTGAACTTTAGGTTTTGAGGTATTTTCTTAAAGCTTTGATTGATTGAATAAGAGAAGGACTTTTTATTAACTTTGTGATTCAATAATAACCATATATTACATATGGCGTGAACGAAATAAGAGAAAGTATAACACTAGCAACAAGTCGGTTAATCAACTAGCAAAAATCATTGACAAAACCATAAGAAACCGCAACACCTCCACGAAGTATGTACAGCCTCAATCCGAGACTTAATGCTTCGTTGGTTTGAAGCATATGAGACTGTAGTTTAGCGTTTATCTAAGAGAAAATGACTAAAATAGATCTTAAAAAGTGTTTTTATCACAAATATATACCTTAACAATTAAAATGACCAAAATAATACTTAAATATTTTATTAAATATACATTTATACCCATTGGATTACCTAATCCTAGAACTTTTGTTTAGAGTTGAGGAGTGGAGTTTTGGAGATAGGGTTTCGAATTTAAAAAAATTAAAAAAAAAATTTAAAATTTCAAAATAAAAAGTGCTATTTTGGTCATTTTAATTTTTGAGGTCTATTTTTGTGATAAAAACTTAAAAGATGGCTATTTGAGAGAATTGCTCTTTATCTAATGTCAGTTCCTATTGTTCTATATATTCTTTCTGATGATTAATAAATTTAACATTTCATTTAAAAAAAAACTGATTATTCTTCCTTATATAAAATATTTATCTTAGAATAATACTATCATCTACTATGATCGCACATGCAATCAAAGATAATGTCTTTGTACGTATTGTTATCGTTTCTATTGATAATGAAATGATAAATTTTATCTGAACTGTGAATTATAATTTTTTTTTTTTTGTAATTATAAACTTTTCTAATGAATTGTCGGAATTCTCCTTAGAGCTAGTTTGTTTTCGTCTCTTGCATGATTATATTGAACTTTAGCATATTTGTTTCTTGGTAATCAATTTTTAGCATATTTCATTTTCTTAAAACTCACAATGTTCGTGCAATGATCACAGTTTGGACACTTATCCATCTCCAAAGCCACACCCTAAAGGCAAGGCTTTAATCATCTAGAATACATATATATGCAAATGAAATATTATACTAATGAGGCTACTACGATATAGCTATATCTTCTCTCTTTTATTCAACGACAAATATTTATTGGTAGTGGAAAAATAGTTGTAGGAGGGACAACAAAGATAGCACAAGGATGGTTTGAAGCGGGAAAGTGTTGAGAAGTGGAAAACTGGAAACAAGTGGAAGAATCATTGGGCCATACTGGGCCATCATACTTTTGATTTTCTCCATAGTCAAAGGTGTAGGAGCTTCTCAAAATTATTGTAGGGGCCCCATTAAATTCAAGTGATCTACTTAAATACATCTGTGGACTATAAATAGTGTTTTCTAATGAGATAAATACTATATGGCCTAAGAATAACTCCTACTATGTCCTATTTAGACTAAGATAATGATGAAACTTGTCCTTATTCTTATCTCGTTAGGATTTCTTTGCTTTGAATAAATGGAGGCCATTGCCTAAGGAATCAAGAACACAAACTTTTATTTTACATTCCAATTTATTTCATTTTCCTTTACATAAATAGAGTTTGAGATTGAGGAAGAAGATAAGAGTTTGAGATTTACATTCCAACATGTATTGGCTACTTCTACCACTTTGACTTTAATTGTTCTCTGCTTCCAAATATGTTTGGGTTTACTTCTTGAATGCATTTAGTTTCGCCTCTTTCTTTGACTTTGGCTTTGCCTCTTACCTTCAACTCTCTATGCTTTTTGTCTTTGTGTATAATTCCATCAGAATTTTTCTAATATACAAAGAAAGGACTGCAAGCATTATTACCAATCGGTCTTCAAATGTTAAATTACTTTACTTATCAAGATAATATTGGATGATCACAATGTATAAGTAAGAAAATCCATGTCAATATATGTTATTGTTGGACCATTCAGAATTCCGATCATTTCGATGTACTAATCAAACAAGATGCATTATTCTTGACAATGGCATATAAATGATACTGAACATATGTTAATTTAGTGGTGGCATGTATACTATAATTCAAGGGCAAGTGTACATCATTTTATTCATGCATCTTTCATAGCAAACGTGATTGCAACAAAGCGAATAATAAATCAAATCATATTCATATGACAAGTGATGGTTCAATGAATACAAGAGAATACTACTAATGAATACAAGAGAATACTACTAATTTAGAGACTTATGCAAAGAAGAAATCAAAAGAAACTTGGTAATCATTTATGCAAAGAAGAAATCAAGAGAAAAGTTTCTTCTTTTAAGAGAACCAATATTTTAATTTAAATTGAAAATGAGAAATGGTAAGGCAATTAGCAATGAAATAATTCATGAAAAATATTCAACAACAATTATTAAGTAGAAGATTTCAATCTTGGAAATCAAACAAAGCAAAAGATGAAACATGATGAATTTCAGTGGAGTGTTGAGGCCGAGGGTTCTTCTTGCTTGTGATGCCAAGCGACAACGTCTTTGTAAGGTAGATTTCCCCCAAAAATGTCCAAGGCACTTCCTACAGTTACATCCACACGTCCCTTTCCAGCTTCCTTGATCCTCTCTATATCATCCATCACCGTCACGCCTCCCGCATACGTTACTGGAATCTGTCAAGGTCAAATTATTCATATTAGATCCAAAATATGAAGCTAAAAAGGATACAAATTTGCAATCAAGACTCAGAGTTTCTAGCAAGTCAATGGATACAATCAAAGCTATCTTGATTAGTCAGAGAGTATATATAATATATAGTATACTTCATCATAGTTTCGAGAATTAACCAGTCTATCTATGTCTCTAACTGACACATGACTACTACATTTTCTGGTTATATACCAGTTTAATAAACATTTATATCATCACAAGTTTGCTGAATCTTTCTAACTTAAGCATTACCACAACATTATTGAACATAATTGATATATCAAGAGAAACGTGTGAGTGTTACTCACCGGAGAATAGTTGCCAAGCAATGCTACAAGCTCTTCATCGATCCCTAGCCTTTCAGGAGAAAACAAGTATTAGGATCAGTACACCCTGACAATAAACTGCTGTGACACTGAAAGCAAAAGCTTACTTCTTTCCTTCAACATCTACTCCATGCACAAGAAACTCATCTGCAAATCCTCCAAGAAACTCCAGTGATTCCTCATCAAGTAAGACATCGCTGAACTTCTGCCATCTATCAGTAACGATAGCGTATCTTCCATCCTGCAGCAGAATGGATCTTTTCATTACTTAATAACATGATCCAACTGAAGACAAAAAACAGGACAGAAAAGTCACCTTCTTTCTGCAGCTAAGATCCAATATCAGTCTTTGCTTCCCAACAATCTTCACAAGATCTTTCAGTCTTTCAAGATCAAGCTTCCCATTGTTAAACACATACTGAAAAACAATCAACACAAAGCATGACTATTACTAATAACCAGTGTTCTAAAAATTGGTCTAGGACGGCAAATAAAGCCTAAACAAACAATTTTTTAAATCGGTCAAGGCGCCGGCCTAATCAATAATCCTCTATAAAAGACTAATTACCAACTAGCTATTTTTTGAACATTGCTACTAACAAAAAAAGAGAGTATGATAACATATTTCAAAAGAGCTATACCGAAGTGACAATGACATGACTTGCTCCCTCCTCTATATAACTCAAGCAATTCTCTGAATTGATTCCACCTCCAACTTGCAAACCGCCTAGAATTCATCATCTTGTATCATATACCCACACACAGTGATTAAATTTGAAAAACTTTAAAACATTTTTTTCAGACAAAACACACAATCACAGTTTCACTCCCAAAAGAGCATTACCGGGATAAGCATGTAATGCTCCTAAAGCTGCAGCTTGGCTTAAAGGGTCAGCTCCAAGCATGATCACATGACCACCCGTGAGCCCATCTTCTTTATACATCTTCGCATACTCTTCTGCAGACTTGTCTGATTCGAAGTTGGTAACGAGGACTGATCCATCTTCTTTCAAGTCACTTAGAGTGGATCCAACTATTTGTTTCACTTTCCCCTTCCAAAAGACACGCAGAGAGTTTTATTGTTAAAAAAAAAAAGGATTCAGCTTTCGAAATGGGTGAGTTTGAGATTTGAGTAATACCTTGTGGATGTCGATGCAAGGTCGGAACTGAACGGCGGATATGACTTGTACTCTCGAGGGTTTTGAGAAATTGAGATGCTTGTTCGATGGAGAGGTTTGGTTCTTGTTGAACAGAGAGGTTCCACCATTGGAGTAGAGTTGAGAAGTGAAAGTTGTCATCTTTGGAACTGAGAAAGATGGACGACTTTCAGAAGCTATAGTAAAATCGGTTCTAATTGTAGATTTCTAGGGTTTAAAAGCGGTTTAAATTTTGGTTTGTTCCGGTTTGCAATTTTTTTTTTCCGGTTTGCAATATTAGTAACTCACTTGGAGACATAGTGGTCTAGTGTAGAGATGAGTCAGATTACACTAGACCAAAACTCAGAAAACCGAACTGAAAATTATTCTTATCTTGTCAGCATGGCACGTGAGAAACGAAACAAAAAATATTTGGAAAACAAAAGAAAATCCGACCTGCCGGAATCGAACCAGCGACCTAAAGATTACAGCAACTACTACAGTCTTCCGCTCTACCAACTGAGCTAAGGTCGGATGCTGGTAGTAGCGATTATTATTAGATTATATTAATGACTAACTATCCTGAACGACTAAATATATTGACGAACAATTCATTATATGCCCTTAACCGTATAAAGAAAAATCAAATAGCTCCATATGACTTCTTTCTAGGGGTGGGGTGGGCACAAGCCAAGTACTTGTCATTTTTGGCGTACTTCGTACTTGGATTGACTTATTCGAGTAATAAAATTTTGGACTTGTATTTGGTTTATTAAAAACGAGTACTTGCATTTTCAATTACTTGCTAAAAATGGTATAGTTGCATGTACTCGCTCCGTTTTATTACTTGTTGCTTTTGAACTAATTTATAATTGATTATATAATTATTTATAAATTATTTAATAATAGTTTATTAATTTTGCTACTTAAACCTTGTATATCAATTTTTTTAAAAAAAATTAGTGAGTTATAACTATAATCTAAACAATTTTTAATAAAAAATATTTATTTACGTTTTATATGTTTTAAATTAATATACGATAAATATAAAATTAAAAGAAAATTCTAAAATATTTCTAATATATCACTTTTTAGTTCATTTATTTTATAAACAATTTGATTATAATGTAGAGATTTTTTTGTCTAAAAGTAAAAAATGGGTAATAAATCAAGTAATAAGTCACGAGTAACAAGCCAACAACGCCAAGTAGTTACTTTTAATCTAGTACTTGGTACTTGTCTTGTACTTGCAAGTAATTGAAATAAAAGATTTGATACTTGACTTGAACAAAACGAGTACTCGACTTTAAAAGTCAAGTACGAATCAAGTAGCGAGTATAAGCCGAGTAGCAAGTAATTGTGCCCACCCCTACTTCTTTCCTAACTATAGCTTATGTCTACTATCAATTTTTTTTTTTTGGTTACTATCAATTTATCTACACCTTATGTCTACCGTCACATTCCACGTTGTATGGATTACATAGACACTATTAATTCATACTTCAATTAAGACTAGCATGGGGTGACAAAATGTTGGTAGGATTCATCAGAAAGCAGACTACAAACTAAAAATCTGTGTGGGATGGATGCAGAAAAGATAGCCTACCAAAACACTTACCAATCATCCACAATACATAATATTACTAGTAATTAGTAGCAATCAAAAGATCTACATAGAAATATCCATGAATCTCTGTGATCGGTTCAAAGTATGAGGAATAAAAAGATCTGATCAAGCTAACACTTATTATGTGTATTGCAATTTCCATCTAAAAGAGTATGAGTTGTGTAGAAAACTAATACTCTTAGGGAGAGTAAGTGCAGTTGTTAGAAAATGGTAGTAGACTATACTGAGGCCAAGAGTCCCTCCGACTTCCCTATAGGACTCACCTAGAACATACTAAGAACTCCCTCGATGTACGAATCAGTATTTCATTTGACTAAGCCTTAGTTCCAAGCACACAAAATGCTAAAACCAACTCATATTGATTACTTAAAAAACCATAGTTTAAGCAGATCCTAACAGTGTCTCAAGCAAACCGCAATTCTAGAAAAGAAGCATATAAGCTCTTCTTAATATTTTGACAAAAAAAACAAAGCTCTTCTTAATACAAACTTTGTGATGAACATTCAAATACTCTTCACAAAACTAATATCAAGAATCAAGACAATGTTGTTAATGAATGAAACCAAGTCCCACATCAGTAGTTGGAGATATAATTAAGTAATATATAAAGGGTCAATCCACTTATCACCAATTGGTTTTAAGTTGGAAGTCCATAATAAACCCAAAGTTAACAAGTGTCTACAAGAAAAGTTAACACGCTGTTGCATTCTGTAAGTAACAAACATTGAATCAAATCTTCTTAAGAGAAAAGAAGAAGCCTTTACACATTACTCTGCTAGTCCCCACATCAACGAACTCAACTTTAAATTCCTACTTCACTAAAGTACCAATCTTTCGTAAAAGCAAAATACAACGAGAAGGGATAAGAGAGTAAAAATCAAGAAACACGCATACGAGATCAACCCAGGATGTTCTTCTCCTCCACCATCAGCCAAAGAGAGCAGAGCAAGCCCTCGTGGCCCCACAACACAAACACCCCCCGGCAACAACAAACCGAAAATATCAACTTTTGGAATATTTTTGTTAATATAAATTTTAAAAGGCCCAATGGGTTCTACCCGACCCAATAACAAATAACGTGACGCGATGTGATTGGCTAAAGACTCCTTCGTCAACCGCCGGAGTAAGAATTCAACCAGCGAAGAAACACCGGTGACTTTCACATTCACGCGGTGGATTTCTCGCCGGAGCTTTCCCCAGCTCCTCATCACCACTTTCTGTTTCTGAACATGGCTTCCGATGGAGACAACAACATCTCGATGCCGGTGGCGGTGGTCTCCTGCGTAGCTATGGCACTATTCTACGTCTTGATCCTTTACGCTCCCACCGTCATTCTCCGCCTCCCGTCGCCTTCTTCCTTCTATGACTTCATGATTCGCCGATTTGTTTGTGCAGCCATCTCAACCGTCGCGTCTCTTGTCTTCACAGCTTTTATACTCCCTGTAAGCTTCTCTTACAGTGTTAGAAGACTCAAAGATTAAAACCTTAAGCTATGTCTAGTACTATATGCATCATTAGTTATAAGAATCATTGTAAAGTCTTTTCCTTTGTTTGCTTGAGACATGTTAAGGGTAGAAGACTATGCTATGTTTGGTACACTGCATCACTAGTTATGAGAAAGAATCACTGAAAAGTCACTTCCTTTGTTTGCTGGGGACATGTTAAGATTATTACACTGTGCTATGTTTGGTACTATGCATCACTAGTTATATGAATCACTGAAAAGTCTCTTCCTTTGTTTGCTTGAGCAATGTTAAGATTAAAAGCTGGGAGGTCTCTGTTGTACTTGGAGTTTTTGGCATAAGGAAAGATCATCTTGTAAGTTTTCTTTTTTCTCTCAATCCTTGTCCATCTTTGAATAAGAGGAGCACCATGAAAAACTGGTTGGTCTGCTTGTTAAACCATATCTATCTTAAGAGATTCTGTGTTTGTGAATATTGAATCAGTGGCAAGGAGTGGTGTATCCTCTTCTGTTGACCTCTCTCCTATATGGCGGATCTTTGGTCTTGAACTTGTTACTACTCATCGAATCATGGAAGGAAAGTGGTGGAGGATGTAGTTTCTTTGATAAAGTAAGAAGCTTTGTCCAAGCAATCCCTGCTTGCTTCCTGACATGTGTTTCTGATATTTCCTTTTGGCGCAATTTGGTCGTGGTAATTAACTCTTCTCCATCTCTTTTTAATTTGTTACTACTAAATTGAACAAATTGTGATATGTTTCAGCTTGTAATTGCAGGCACCATTAACTGAGGAGCTGGTTTTCAGGGGCTGTATGATACCTTTGCTTCTGTGTGCTGGATTTAGGATTTACTACGCTATCTTTCTCTGCCCAATTCTCTTTAGCTTAGGTTTGTTTTTTTTGCTTCTCTGTGAATGACAAGTTTACAGCTCGAGTTGACATGAAAAAATTGCTGGATTTTTGGTTTGCAATATGTTTTATGCAGCCCACTTGAATCATTTTAGAGAAATGTACATCAAGCATAACCGCAGCTACATCAAGGCCTCACTGATTGTTGGTACGTTTCACTGTAACCATAATCATATTAACAATCTTTGTCTCAGAGGTAAGCTAATCAGTCCTGATCTTAACTTGTCGCTTTGATCAGGTCTTCAGCTTGGCTACACAGTCGTTTTTGGTTCATATGCATCTTTTCTCTTCATCAGAACCGGTACAATTACATCTACTAGCCCCCTTCTATTGTTGTCGTTGATAGTGATGTTTCCCGCATTGTGTTATATCTACAGGACATCTTGCTGCTCCTTTGTTTGCTCATATATTCTGCAATTACATGGGATTGCCTGTGCTGCTGCACGCACGAGGAAAAGGTAATATGTACAAAAGATTTCGAGGTTTTAACAAATGCAAATGCAGAAGAATAAAAAGCTAAAGATTCTCTCATGGGTTCTTCTCTTAGGTTTGGTGAGTGCAGCTGCCTTGGCTGGTCTTGTTGGGTTCGTCACACTTCTCTTTCCTTTAACAAACCCTCTCATGTACAACGATGGAACCAACAATTGTCCGTGTTGGCTTGGCTATTGTTTGTGGAATTGAAACTCTGCACTCACATCTCTAAATTTTGTGTTTTTCAGTTTCCACTGATCATGTCTTATTAGTGTTTTTAGCAAATATTGTGGTCCTTTTATCAATTGCCTTTAACAGATATTTATAAAAATGAGTTCATGGAAACTAAAACATTGAATATTTGAATATAACAAAAATTTCGCTATCAACTCAATTCTCTCGTTCGAATGGAGATTTATCCCTGACGCACATATGAACTGGATTTTTCTTTTTTCTTTATTCTGGTTGTATCTACATATTTGCGCCCGGGCTCAGTCTCTTTCGGCCGGTATGTAGAATCGTCGGAGCGAGCAGAGCAGCGGAGTGGATGTTCTGGTCTTCCATCAGATAAGCCCGATACGGATCAATCAGCCAAGGGTTACGGTATAAGCAATCATCTTTCGTCAACGTCAACTCGAGTGGTATGATCTACTAATTACATTAAATAGGAGCTTTGATCACCTGATTGAAAATAGTAGCAAGTACCTATATTTATCTCAAAACTTTTCTTGTATCTTCATATATCATTATTGTTAATATTTCCTTATCTCTTATATCTAATATATTAAAAGAAAAATCATTAATGTATGATATTTTAAAATAGACCATCTACTAAAATTTATCACATTATATTATTCAATCATTAATTAATAACTTTTAAGTTAGTTGTCTACAATTTTGGCTTACCAAAAGGTTTTATTGGGCTAACAGTAATTGAATAATTAACCCATTAATTTTATAGATAAGTAGAATAAGACACATGTTTAAATTAAATAGATATAATTTAGTGTTATAATAGTATACTTTCATAAGTTAATTATTTATATATTTGTCGATGTTAACTTTTAAAATTATATAGTTTATTTTTTAAAATAACAAAAATCATCGTTTTCTAACAGTGATTAATCTATACTACCTTTAACCAATGATTTTTTTTTAAAGTTATATAGTTTATTTTTAAAAAGAACAAAAACTAAATGTTTAATTATTTACTCCAGAATATAAAGCTAAAAGTTTTATTTTTGTTAAACTTTCTAAAGTTGAGAAATGTTACAATATCTTTAAAGATGAGAGTAAAACAATATTTTACCAATCTTTACATATATTTACAATTTCAAGAATGAAATAATAATCCAAAACAATAAATATAGAAGAAGATACAAATACATGTGAAGGTTTGAAACAATTTATTCAATGAAAAATTAATACATGATAAAATTATTATCTTTTATAAATTGATATACACACCTCATATATATATATATTGTAATACATATATATATATATATATATATTCTAATATATATTAATTTAAAAGTGAAAGAAAATGTTTCTATTAAAATAAATAAAAACAAACATCCGCGCGGTTGCGCATATCGAGATCTAGTATAACTTAAAAAAAAAACCTGGCAGCGATTATAAATCTCTTATAACTAACAATTTATAGTAAACCAAATTCTTAAACAAAAGAAAATGTAGAATATAAAAATAATAAAGATACTGGTTGTTAGGAGAAGAGGAGAAGTAGTACAATGTAGTCCCATAATCCACCATATCCTAAAGAACAAAACCCCACATGAAAAGGGAACAAAGAAAATTTAATTAACATACAAATGGAAATAAAAGTAAAATATCCCTGAGAAGGTAGGCAGAAAGATACATTGCTTCTGTCCTTTTTTTAGTAAATAATTTAGAAGAACCCACAAATTCAAATAATAATAATAATACTACTAACCACTAACTTTTGACTATTTTCTTACATTGCACCAATAAAGAAGAAATAATAAAAGATGGGTTCTTCTAAGGGTTATGATAATTTTTTCAGTCTACCAAATCCAATACTTGTCCTAAGAGTTTTGCTGCATCAGGATTGTCCAGAAACAGAACTGGACGAAGAGAGGGTGCTGCTTCCCTGCTTTGATTCATTAGAGTCCTTGGTTTTGGAGAGCTTCTGGTTGAGTTCAAAGAGAAGCTGTTGATTCTCCTGATTAAGAATCTGAGCTTTCTTCCTCAACCTCTCATTCTCCTTTATTATGTAACAGTTTTGCTGGTACAACTTTGAGTTTAGCCTCTCCATTTCGATAAACCTTGCTCTGTCAAAACTATAAAAACAACTTCCAAGTTATGTTCAATCAGAAAAAAGAAGAATTGATTTATAAAATCTCTATTATATGATTATAGTTAAGGTTAAATCATTGCAGCAGCACATGGTTTATGCAGCTCGTTCACACATTTAACGTTGAATTACATAAAGCAAAATTCATGACCGCATTTATTTTGTTTTCAACTAAAATTTCAAGGTTTCTGTAAAATAAAACCAATGATATCAAACAGAAGAACAATCATACTCTTCTTGGTTGCAGAAATGAAAAGATAAAGCCACCACCACAACAATGAAAACAAAAATAAAGTAATGATGATACAGTAAGTATAATGATGAAGTTTGAAAACGAAAATTCAACACACATTTACAGAAGAGAAACATAAGAACCCGACCAAAACAAAGCACGTACTAGCAAAACAGAGCCAAAATGATCTTTCTTAATGTGATATTAAAAGGAAAAAGAGAGTTTAGAAATAAGAAGAAAAAAATTGAAAAAGACAAACAAATAGGGTTTATTCATTTGCATGCCTTTGTCTGAAAGAAAAGGATCTTTAAGTTTTCCATCAATTTAAAGTTTGGTTATATAAAATAAAGAACTAAAATAGTAGTTGGGTGGTTATGCAAATGATATTCACCTTGCTTGTACGTGAGGGTAGATATATATCTAGAGAGAGAGAGAGAGAGAGAGAGAGAGAGAGAGAGAGAGAGAGAGAGAGAGAGAGAGAGAGAGAGAGAGAGAGAGAGAGATTACCTTTAGGTAAGAGTGTTCGAATAGGGTGAAGAAGAAGTGAAGTGGATTTCTGTTTTGTAAAGGAGAGAGAGATTTGTATGAAATGTAGAGAGGGACAAAGAGAACAAAATGAAGATAGTGTCTCTTATATAGAGCCTCAAAAGCTAGAGAGGGAGAGAAGGGGGACATGCCCCTCTCTCCTGACACAACAATCATGCTTTGTGGTGTGTTATGCGTATATGGCGGCCGAATAAGCAGCTCTCAATCTTTTGTTTTTGTTTCTTTTATGATAATAACTTGTGAGGGAAAAGTGACGAAAAGATTTGTGTTGCGTCATGCGAATGATGGTCGAGAATACTACTTGGGGTCTTTACTTTCTTTACTCTTTTGAAAATTTCTCTTTAGGGTTACTTTCATCTTTTTCTTGTATCTTCAATTTTTTTTTCGTATGGGATAACCGTTATCTCTTTCTAACAACTCTTACCCATATCATCATAGACCAACAAACTCTATATAGATGTCATCGCAATATTTCCAGTAAGTTGAACCAACTCATACAACTCATATTTTAGTTCATCAAGCATCAGTTTATGTAATATGTCAATAACGACCGTCTTTAACATGGTGTAACTAGAGCATTTGAACAAGATTTCAATATGAAGACGGCTTGAATTAATATGTAGATAGGAAGGGTTATAGTTTTTTTTCTTAATCAAGCTGAGGTATATAACCAATGAAAGTGTTCAAGTTAATGTTAAGGGGAGTTACATTACATAGATAGATTTTCTTCTAAATATTTAAATGGGGGACAGAATGAGTCTATATCTATGTGATCACATGATAAAATATAGTGAGTGCTTTCGAACTCATGTTGTTTATATAACATCTCTGACTTCACTCTATTTTATTCCATAATGGAGTAAAAATAAAGTTTGGACTTAAAAATTGAATAAAATGTGGGTTTACTCCATAGAGTACTGTATTTATGGTTTATTCGCTATTCAATTTTTCATTTCAATTTTTCATTTCATTTTAGAGAAAAAAATGATTGTTTATACTAGAGATGTTCTTAGCAATCTACACCTGCCACTAAATCATCATCATGTGGTTAAAAGATATAATTGTGAAGTAAGTAAAGGGATTAAATATAATTAGAGATGAGATGAATGAAACTAGTTACTGAGTGAGAATGGTGATGATGATGATGATGATGATGATGATGATGATGATGATGATGATGATGATGATGATGATGATGATGATGAGGGCTATAGAGGCCATAGTCCCTTAAAGATACGCAATGATGTTTGGGGATTGGTTCGAACCATCTTTATTCATTATTCAATTCTAAGTCAGTTTGTACCACTTTCATTATTCTCTTTTCACTTCTTTCATTTCTCCGGTTTGGTTGGTATTTGGTTTGGTCAAAACTACTCATCATAAGCCATAATAACATATACTAGAGGCTGTTATGTGTCCGATTTTTCTGCATGACCCTTTTCTTCTTTCCTCACCCATTCTTTAGATAAAGATCGAAATAATTAAAAAGAAAAGAGAGTAACTACGAAGAGCAAAGTTTCGTGGCTCCAAACGCTTAAAGAGAACATATAAGTATATAACTCTCTTGTGTGTTTATTATGAGTGTATCACAGCGTGAAAGATCATATAGTTATTAGTTTACAAAGTGGCTCATTACTCATTAGCCACTTCACCATTTAGCTTCATTACATTAACCATCTTGGCCCTCATTTGGTTGCACAATAATACAAATTATTGCACATACGTTTATGATTAGTTTTTCTTTATCAAATCTTGTAATTTTTGGCGATTTTGTTGTTCTATTCACGGAATAAATTCGGAAATCGTGTAGTTTTGTTTTGGTAATCATTGATGCATAATTTGTGAAAGGTGAATGATTAATTTGATGTGTGTTTGTCCTTTTTGTGCTAAGCGTTCTAAATTGACAATTGTTTTAAAGTTTCAAAACACAAATTAATTCGAACCCGTAATTACTATGTGTGTCTTGAAATATATGGAACTATAAATAAATCGAAGTATATTGTAAACCAAAGTGAAATCTGTATATTATTCATGCTTTAGAGGTTCCATATATATATGGGTTACAAGAATAAGATAAATGGAAAACATCCAATTCCTAAAGTAACAAGGAATTGGAAATACATAGAAAAGGAAAAGGGACCAGCCGCCTAGACTATTGGGTCACACGACCATTGGGCTAGTCCTAATCTATCTAATGGTTAAGGCCCATTCACTAATTGGTCCATAACACTCCCCCTTGAATGGCCTAACCGTATGGGCTTGTACCATGCTTAATGTTGCCTCGTTAAAACCTTATCTAGGAAAACCAAAAACCCAAGGTGGGAAAAATGGAAACCTCAGACAAGGAAAAAGAGTACAACACATGATACTCCCCCTGATGAATGCATCACTGAAAATGGCTCAGTGAACACATCCCAATCTGGTACACGAACTTCTTGAATGTCTTGGTGGGTAAGGACTTGGTGAACATGTCGGCCAAGTTGCTGCTGGACTGAACTCGGACCACCCGGACTTCTTGGGCCTTCTGCAGGTCATGGGTGAAAAAGAACTTGGGCAAGACATGCTTCGTTCTGTCTCCTTTGATGTAACCTTCCTTGAGCTGATGTATGCAGGCTGCATTGTCTTCATAGATAACTGTTGGCTCGTCCTTCCCAATGCTCAAACCACTTCCCACTCGGATATGGTTGGTCATGTTCCTCAACCACACAAGTTCTGTACTAGCCTCGTACATGGCTATGATCTCAGCATGATTAGAAGATGTGGCTACAAGTGTCTGCTTCTTGGAACGCCAAGAGACTGCTGCACCACCGTACAAATAGATGTAGCCCGTTTGAGATCTAGCCTGGTGCGGGTCAGACAAGTACCCGGCATCCGTGTACCCGACCAAACTCTCCTTTGGTCGATACGAGTAGAACAAACCAAGATCCTTGGTTCCTTGCAAATATTTCAACAAGTGTTTCACACCATTCCAATGCCTTAAAGTCGGACAGGAGCTAAATCTAGCAAGTAGATTCACAGCAAAACAAATGTCTGGTCTAGTGTGGCTAGCCAGGTACATTACAGCTCCAATAGCACTGAGGTAAGGCACCTCCGGACCCAGTACGGCCTCGTCCTTCTCCCTTGGTCGGAATGGATCTTTCTCTGGTTCTAAGGACCGTACGACCATAGGGCTGGACAATGGATAGGCCTGGTCCATATTAAACTTCTTGAGTACCTTTTCTGTATAAGTTTTCTGATGCACAAGGATACCATCCTTTATGTACTCAAGCTGTAAACCCAAACAAAACTTGGTCTTACCAAGATCTTTCATCTCAAATTCTTTCTTTAAATACTCAACTGTTTGGGTAATCTCTCCAGGGGTTCCAAGTATATTCAGGTCGTCCACATACACTGATATAATGACAAAACCTTTGTTGTCAAACTTCTTTATAAAAATACATGGACATAATGGATCATTCTTATAGCCCTCTTTGACTAGGTACTCGGATAACCTGTTGTACCACATACGACCTGATTGCTTTAAACCATATAAAGCCTTATTCAATCTTATGCAATATTGTTCTCGAGAACACTTCTTATCTTTGAGCTCAATACCCTCTGGAACTTTCATATAAATCTCATTATCCAGTGGACCATAAAGAT